GCCTGGCCTGGCCAACTAATATATATACACAAAAACTTAGCTGAGCATGGTGGTGCATGCCTGTAGTCCCAGCTACTTGGGAGGCTGAGGCAGGAGGATTGCTTGAGCCCAGGAGTTTGAGGTTGCTATGAGCTAGGTTGATGCCACGGCAATCACTCTAGCCTGGGCAACAAAGTGAGACTCTGTCTCAAAAAAAAACCAAAAAAAAAAAAAAAAAAAAAAACCTGCTTTAAATTTTTTTAAAAGTATATTTCCATCTGAAGATTGCCTCTCTTTTTATGTTGCCTCCCTTTTGTCAGAGGCTCTGATAGGCAAATGTCACAATAAAAATCATTAGTTATGAGACTTATTTTGCTTTCAACACTCAAAGGATTTCAATTTCCATCTAGCCTACAACAGACAGCAAAAAGCAAGTAAGTTGTTTCCCACTAACGCTTTTTCTTTGCAGCACTGCCTGATTGAGATGATCCCTCTAGCATTTGCAAAATTATAAGTAGGAAACATTTTACATCAATTTCTATCATATACCCATAGATGTAATAACTGCAAAATACAAGGCCATTAACCACCCCCCACTTTCCTGACTGCAGATGTTTCAAACCCTTTACAGTAAATTTAGCAGAAGGTTTGACATGACAGATGCCTGGGGAGATCCTAGCTGGACTGGGGGTGAAGGGGTACCCGGGCAATGGCTGGCTAAAGAAAGACTGGAGTGTGCCCCCTGCCCTTTTTAACTTTGCTCCAGCCCTGGGAATGGAGTCAACCTTTTTTCCTCTTACTTGTGAAGAAAAAACAACACAATGTTTAGCATTTTTGGCCTAATCAGAGTTCATCTTTGGGAATTCTGGGGCCTTTTTTCTTCCCACTTGGAGGAGAGAACAAAACCCAAACCAATTACCTGGGGTGAGCTGCTATTTTTTTCCCTCCCTCCTCACTGTAGCCTGCATGGCCAAAAGTAGCTAGGGGATCTAGTGAATCAGCTCTCCTGGAGTTGACTTTATTTCAAGTTCCTTAAGTAATTTTTATCTTTCACAACAGACAAAAAGCTGAGCTGCTGTATCATATTATGGATGACTCCACAGCCACCCAGGCACCAAAGGTTTGCCACTCCCCACCCCCTTCATCCCTTCTCTTCTCAATCAATCATATCTTAGTGAGTCTCAGGGGGCGCTGACTTGGTGATTTGCTAGGACTCAGGACCCGGCATCTAATCATACTCATGGCTATGACTTACTATAACGAAAAGATACAAAATAAAACCAGAAAAGGGAAAATGTACTCGGGGTGAAGCCAACAGGAAACCAGGCACAAGCTCTAAGGATCCTCTCCCAGTAGAGTCACACAGGACATGCTTAATTCCCCCAGCAATGAGCTGTGACCTGTGTGAAATGTCTACCAGGGAAGTTCACTACAGACTCAGTATCCAAGGTTTTTACTGGGGGCTGGTCATGTCAGCACCCTCGGCCAAAATTCCAGATTCCTGGAGGAAAAGCAAGTGTTTAGCATAAACCAAATTATTTGTACAAACAGGTTAGGCAAAGGGAGCCACTCTTACCAGTTCTAGGCACGGTGCGAAACCTTCCGAAGTCTAGGTTCCCAGATGCCAGATTAAGGCTAAACTTGCAAGCAGGCCTTTCTAAGGCCAGTAGTCTCAGGCCTGCAATTTTAACTCTTTTCTGCACAGGAACCAACTCATTTTTTTAAAACTTGTAAAGAGAAAGAATCAAACATCTATTCTGTCTTTTCTGTGGGGACTATACCTCACAGTAATCAGCTGTATGAACTTTGTTTATACCTAGATTCAAACTACTAAAAAGTTATGACAAAGGCCAGGCACGGTGGCTTAAGCCTGTAATCCTAACACTCTGGGAGGCTGAGGTGGGAAGATCGCTTGAGCTCAGGAATTTGAGACTAGCCTGAGCAAGAGTGAGACCTATCTCTACTAAAAATAGAAAAATTAGCCGGGTGCCGTGGTGTGCACCTATAGACATAGCTACTTGGGAAGCTCAGCAGAAGAGGATGGCTTGAGCCCAGGAGTCTGAGGTTGCAGCGAACTATGCCATGTACTCTACCCTGGGCAACACAAGTGACACTCACATTTTATAATTGAAATTAAATGACATCTGGGATTTGTTTTAAAATAATCTGAGGATGGAGTGGCATTCTGGGGTGGGTGCTTATAGATGAAACAAGATTAGCCATGAGTTGAAAATTTTTAAATCTAACTGATAGGTGTATAGGGGCTCATCATACTATTCTTTCTACTTTTATACATGTTTTATATTTCCCACTGACAATCCAGACAGTTTCTTCTTCCTTTGATGTGCTAAAATTATTGCAGCTATCTGAAAACCACAAAGGGATGTAGCTTGAAGGAAGAGCCAACATCCTGAAGATGGCAGCTTGGAGAAATGAAAAGACCTCAGATACCTAATAACACTCACAGTTGAGACACTGATCATATTGACTTGGAACCTGCCTTATCCTGGACTTCTTGTTTTGTGAAATAATGTTTCTTCATTGTTTAAACCAGTTGGAATCAGATTAGAATGGCTCTAACCTGTAGAGTGGAGGTTGGCGAATTTTTTCTGTTAAGGACCAAACAATAAATACTTTGAGCTTTGCAGGCCATGGGTATTTGTTGCAACTACTCAACGCTGTCATTGGAGCCCGAAAACTGTCAAGATAATAGGTAAACAAAGAGCATGGCTATGCTCATCAATAAAACTTTGTGAATACTAAAATTTAAACTTTGCATAATTTATATGTTACCATATATTCTGCTTTTGACTTTTTTCAACTTTTAAAAAACATAAAAACCATCGTTAGCTTGCAGGCTGTATAAAAACAGATGGCAGGCTGTTGGTTCGCAGGCCGTAGTAGTTTGCTAATCCCTGCTATCGAGGAAGCATCTGAACTGATAACACTATGTTAAATGATGATAATTCTTAGGGTTTTTGGAATAATGTTAACAGAGTATATATATCAACAATCAATTATAATTAGCAACTACTTTATCTATCTGCAACTGGTTATATGAGAGACTCCAAACTGTTGACAAAGATGTAAAAGCACATTAGTTTTACTATATTCTTTACAGTGTCTAATATTAAATTTATTTGCCTCCATTATATGGAGTGTTCTAAAATAGATCCTTACACATCTCTTATTATCCAGAATTCTAGTTTCAGCATTGCTATTAACAAGTTGGGTATCCCTGGCTAAGTCACTTAACTTCTGGGTTGGATAGCTTAACAATTCAGCACTCATATGAAGGAAAGCATAAAAACTGTGGCCTAAAAAGATGGCTCCAGGAACATCTACAATTGCTCTTCGGGCTTCCTAGTCTCAGGGTTAGACTAGGGCTGAGGTAGTGATATAGATGCTCAATAAAGTTATTTTATTTGGAAGAACCCGAAGAAGTAATGATAAAGTATAATAAACACTGGACTAAATAAAGTCAGGGTCTAATCTGAGTTCTCCATAGTAATCTTTGATAAGTCATTTTCCCAATCCGGGCCTGTTTCCTTATCTGTAAAATGAGACTAAACACTGTCTAATAGCTCTACCAATTTTTTTTTTTTTTTTTTGAGACAGAGTCTCAAAGACAGAGTCTCGCTTTTGTTGCCCAGGCTAGAGTGAGTGCCGTGGCATCAGCCTAGCTCACAGCAACCTCAAACTCCTGGGCTCGAGCGATCCTTCTGCCTCAGCCTCCCTGGTAGCTGGGACTACAGGCATGTGCCACCATGCCCGGCTAATTTTTTATATATATATCAGTTGGCCAATTGATTTCTTTCTATTTATAGTAGAGACGGGGTCTCGCTCTTGCTCAGGCTGGTTTTGAACTCCTGACCTTGAGTAATCCGCCCGCCTCGGCCTCCCAAGAGCTAGGATTACAGGCGTGAGCCACAGCGCCCGGCCAGCTCTACCAATTTTAATATTCTATGGGTCTTCAAATGTATTCTCCACAAATGTATTATCTAGGATCAAGAAAGCTCAGAACCACCTTCCCTGAAAATCGACTAGGTCACCTCTGTGGTATCTGTGCAGCCCATAGACTAGTGGTGCTTCTCAAACTTTTATGTTCATATGAATCACCTGGGGCTCTTGTTACAATGTAGTTTCTGATTCATCTGTGATAGAGCAGTGACAATACATATCTCACAAATCCCTAAGAGATGCTGATGCTATTGGTCTATGAAATACACTTAGAGTAGCCAGTAATAGACTACTGTAGTCCTGCTTGAAAGCTATGTTGTTGTAGAAGCCATCAGGGAAGAGAAAAGGGCTAAGTAGCTAAGCATTTATGCAGAGGTGCTTACTGAAATAGCAGCTCGTTTTCTCCTTTACACCTTTCACAATGTCTGTGGTACCTTAATGCCACCACTGCAATCACCTGGTAAGGGCTCAGAAAGTTGGGGAGCTGTTTTAAGTGCTATTTAATTCTCTAGACCTTTTGTTATAATCCTTTTGATTTCTTCCTTCCACTTTCTTTTCATGGTTCTTTAATTTCCATCTAGTTTTGATCTTTTGTTTGGAATCCAAGAATTGAGAAGGGAAATAAGTCTGTGCGATATGTCAGTAGAATAAAATTTCAAGATGGAAGAGATGAATTACTTAAGAGGCAGAAAAATATTCAAGTTGGCAAGTAAAATTTAGCAAAAGAGAAATCATAGTGGCTAAGAAGCAGAGGTCCTAAGCATCTGTTGTTTTTTTTTTTAAGTGAAAGTTTTAGGTTGTAATAAAATAAGAAGAGGCAATTATTTGTACTCACTCTCTACCTACAGCAAAGTAATGAAAAGAATTACTATTTAAAACTGTGCTAACTCTAAAGTTACTTCCCAACTCTGGAAAGGTCATTCATTCAAAAGAAAGAAATACAGTATCATACTTTGCCCAACATAAGATCAGAAAAAATGAATCAAGATTGAAAACAGTGGGAAAGCAAGCATACTAGTATATGTTATTTTAACAATTTTTAGGATAAAAATTTAATTTACCTCTGATAAAGCTGAAGAAAAGTGATTGCAGTTTTTATGCATCAAGTGGTAAGCGTTGCCTTTATATTCTTTTCCCAATTCTTCTACAATTTTTTCTATATCATCTTCTAGGAAGTCAGTGCTCCCTAAAACAACAGCTTCTCTTAAAAAACAAAAAGAAAAAATTAAGAAAAAAAAGGACATAACTGTGTTTCAGTTATTTATAAACAACATGTTTAAAGACTTATTTCCAGAAATATTATGATTGATGTAACAAAGCAGGGTTACTATAATAAGACAAAGAAAAATGAGAAACTCTGAAGATCTCAATAATTTTAGTTGCAACTTTTCTGCAAACCCTTAAGTACATTACCTCTGAAAAATACAAATGCATAAGTTGTCTTTAAGAAACAATGTCTATTATTATATAAAAATGTAATATCACAGTTATTTTTACAACTATTGTATTAGTTGTTACATTATGAGAGAACCAGATCTATGCTATAAATTGCAAATATGCCTGCGTAACTGCACTTGCCATTAAGGGCTGGCCACAGTCTCAAAAATAAACTTTGAAGTTATCTGCCACTATGCTGCAGTGAGATGAACTGTCAAATCTGACTTAAGTTTTTTTTTTTTTAAAAAAAAAACATTATCAAAAAACCCTTGTAAAGACACAAACAAAAAGTCCTACCTTGGAAATGCAATAGACAATATTCAAGGGAAAGTGGAAGTTTAGTCAAATATGAGTTAGGCATTCAAGAAAGGTGAAAATTACTTAGAAAATCATTTTACTGAGTAGTCTTACCAAAAGGGAGCCCAAAGGAATGGATTCAGGATGGCATTTTATAGCACTCCTGTGTGTAAAAGTTTCAATTCAGTGATAGGCTGAGAGAACCATGAACTTGGTAGTGTTAAAATTATGTAGCCCTATACTGAATTTCAATGTTATAACCTCATTTCACTATTTTTCACTTGGCAAGTTATCTATCATACACCCAGAAGTTTCTTTAAAGCTTCTTGAAACAAAGATTCTAAATATCACTTTAAATACAAACCTTAATTAAAGAATGGAAATTTGATTAACATTCAAATTTTCCCTGCATTTTACTACTCATAAACTCCAGAGAACATTTATACCCATACATACATTTTAGGTTTATCATTACATGTGATACATGTACCTCAACAATAGTTTCCAGGCTAATCAACTATTTAGTTATTTCAAGTTTATACACAGTGTCCCTTTCATTGGGAAAATAAAGAGATTCTTATTTTTATTTATTTATTTTTTGAGACAAAGTCTTGCTCGGTTGCCCTGAGTAGAATGCAGAGGTGTCATCAGAGCTCACTGCAACCTCAAACTCCTGGGCTTAAACAATCCTCCTGCCTCAGCCTCCCGAGTAGCTGGGACTACAAGCGTGCCACAATGGGGTCTTACTCTTGCTTAGGCTGGTCTTGAACTCCTGAGCTCAAGCAACACTCCCATCTCAGTGCTAGGATTACAGGTGTGAGCCACCAACGCCCCACCTAAAAAGATTTTTAATAGTGACAGGTAGGTCACAATAAAACTTTCCTCCTTCCAAACAGGAGATTAAGGGGAAGAAGTCGTTAGACAGGAAAGTTTTCTAAGGCAGGCCTGAGTTATACAAAGGTAAAAGCGTTTTCACAGTAGACAGCATAACTTATATGGGTCCTGAATGAAAACAGCAGAAAGCTATTTCAGACACTTTATTTGGCTGATTCCCATCTCTACACAACTGAAATGGATTTAATTTCAAAGTAAAGTGTCAGCAACTAAAACAAAGTTAAAGAAACATTTTTAACTTCTTAGATTTTAATCTACAGAATGAATTCTGTATGCCTGGAAACAAGCTTTGGCACCTAAAACAGCATAATAAAAATTATCCTCCCTACTTACTTAAATTTAAATGTTTCTCCTAGTTCAGAAGCATTTCCTGGGGAAATTTCAAATATTCCAGAAAAGGGGTAAGGATGGCCACCATAAGCAAATTCTGAAAAGAGAAAACTCATGATTTTTAGTATTTATCACATAAAATTTAACCAGAATGCTGAATTAGCTTTAATAAATGATGAGGATAATAATGAAACCATCTATATATTTCTTAGTTTATAAAATGCCTTTCACAAACATCTCATTTAGTTATTACTAGTAATAGAACGGTTTTCACAAAGGGCCTGAAAAATCAAATAACAGTCAACTAATGCAAGACACTCAAACGTAATCTTGACTGCCATATTTACATTGCTTATATTGGCAAAGGGAGAATGATTGACACTCAAAGGTGAATACAGTCTCTCTTCATAGCCATCATGCCAAACTAAGAAGGTGGTCAGTTCAGTGTTTTGTCACTTTCTAAATTAAAGTGATCTAATTTCAAACTAATACATTACTGGAGAAAACTATCTAATAACTGAGTTTTCACGGTTTCTGGGATGAAGACTGTTGGTTTATCTTTGAGTAGTAGTGCAACATTACCAAACCTGAAACACTACTCAATTCCCCTCATTCAAGAAAAAAATACACTGCCAAATTTTAACATATACACCACTACCTCCTGATCTGCACAATAAATCTTTTAGCTAGGAGGAAACTATCTGTACTACAGTGACTTTTCATCCAGCTCAGATATAAACTCTCATCTAGAACAAAAATGGAGAATGGTTATACAAATAAAAAATTTCTGGCTATAATCCTGATATCTCATCCAGATTTAAGTGGCTAAGTCTTAGTGGACATATTAATATTTAAAGAATCCAAACAAATGTATAAGTTACCACTTAAAATTTATTAAATATAATCTTAAAGCTGTTAGAACAAAACATGGAAAAGAACAATGCAGATACTAAGTTTATTTTCAATTCAGACCTCAGAAAAAAGCAACAATGTAGTTGAGAATTAAAATGTTTAGCATTCAATTTTGAAATTAAGTTTTTATTTTTTAATGACAGATTTTTATAAAATATTGTAGACAATCAGGTTGGAGGGGGAGATTATATTTGGATTCTTAACTTTCTCAATTATAGTAAGGAAAGTCATAGACTCATTTATTCTTTTATTTAAGAAGCAATCATTCACTTTCAGGAATATATTTGGTTCTAGCTTTGCTAAATTTATGTGGTCATGTTTTGAATCATGTTGTAATCATTACTAACAATTTTATGAAGGGGAACAATGATTAGGCAGATAATAGAACAACGGACTACATACAAAAACACCTCGGTTCAAGCCCTACTTGTTAGCGTTATGACTTTCAGGAGGTTTAGGCCTTGGTTTCTTCATCTGAAAAAGAGAAAATGCCACAAGCCCTTATCTATCTCACAGCATGGGCATGTGGGTTAAAACTTGATGGTTACTTTAAAAACTGTAACACATTATACAAATTCAAGTTAAAAAGGAATACACATGCAACTTTGGCAATGATCCCACCCATAGCAATACTCTAACCAATGAAGCAAGAGCCCCTCATCATTTCTTGGGGTTATTTGGTAGAAATGGAACTTAAATGGCAAATTGATTATTTATTATTTCCTCTGTGGGTCAAGCATTTTCTTTTTTGTTTCTAAAATTTATTTTAAAAATTTATTATAACCAACATTTGATGGGCTAAACTGCACCTCTCCAAGCAGTTAATATGGAATATAAAAAAGATAGTATTAACACCACACTGACACATTTAAGTAAATGGATCTTTTTCTTTATATTAGCTAAAAATGGTGTGTATTGTTCAAGGATAACCTTGAGTGAACTGCAATAATATATTCTAAGAGGTCACAAAGACTGCATGGCTGAAGGAAACAAAGACGTTTCTGCTATAGGGTGAGTTTATGACTCAAAATGATATATTACCACAACGCTGATGAAATCAGCAACATGATCTGTCTTATGCAGACCATTACTAGTTACAACTTGATCAGGAGTAGATTATATTGCACCAAGAGTGGGAATTATAACAAAAGAAAAAAACTGTTGAAAACACGATTGGTTTGAGTGGTTCCTGACATGTTTATCATAATAAGGGGTAATAAAAGTAACAAGTATGAAAAGGGCTGAGTTAATGACAAAGGCCATCATTCTTGAGCAAAAAGCTAGATTAATCAACAGCAGGATTTTCTCAGCAATGTTTTTAGACTTTATAAACATACAGATCTACAAAAGTAAATTTATTACTGAAATTCCCTCAGGAAATTGGTATTTCAAGTTTGATACTCTATAGCACCAAACCCTTTCCAACCAAAATGATTGTTTTTATCATGCTATTTTTCAAAGTACAAGGTTTCTTAGGAACGCCAATATATATTAGAGCAAAAAAATAGTCATGGTATAATAAATAATATCAAAAGGAAAATATTTTTTAAGACACAATATTTAAAATAAAAGGTAAGTAAATGAATGCATACACTTGTATTTTGAATATTTTTCTCCCCAAATGCATTCTGCTTTGGGCATTTTCCCAAAACACAGTATAAACAAATATGGGAGATTTTCTTCTAATTTATGTAATGAGTGGTTAAAAAAAAACCCTGTAATTATTATTTTGCAACTCCTTTAAAGTACAAAATCTTCAGAAAGTATATTCAGACTATGTGTACACATACCTCTGCCATATACTTCGATTCCTGAATGAAAAACTCCAATTCCAATGGATGAGGTGTATTCATTCATCCAGTACTAAGGGAAAAAAAAAAAAAAGATTCAGAACAGCTGTTTATTTACAACTCAACTCCACATTATAGGAAGTGACAACTCCCCAGATCTCTCACTAGATATGTAGGTTTTTCCAATCCTATTTCTTAGTATTTTTCCTCACAATTCTGAAACTCCTATGATAACAATCCATTTAGTCCTACCTTCGTGCCTTTGCTCATACCACATCCATCTGCAATGCCTTCCTGGGTCAAAATTAATGTCTTAATTTAAGTATAAAAGCACATTATCTATGGCTTAGAGTATAAGCATTAAAATCAAAAGCCTGGTTGGTTTTGGGAAAAAAATTTTATAAAAGCTCTCCTATTAGTGGTTTTTTTAAAAAAAATCACACGCATAATGTATGCCTTTATATCTATTGTTCTACGCTAAGCTTTTCCTTTCATTCTCTGGTGAGCTTGTGGAAGGCAGGGATATTGTATTCTTTTTCAATAAACATTTATGGCATGCAACATATGTCCTAATTCTGCCCGAAGTTTGACAATGATATTGGGGTGGGGAACTTGTGGTCTTCTGATTTCAAGATTGTTCTTTTTTAAGCACCAAAGGAGGCAAGAAAAGCTTCATCTTTCTCTGCTGCACACTTTTTAATAAAAGGATTTGTTCTGTAAAATTTGGATTTAGTCAAAAGGCAGTACTTACGGACCTAGAAGGCCACACCCCCATACTGCAGATTCCCCACCCCAAGGACAACATTCTCATTGTTAGCATGAAAAAAAACTTCCTAGAAAAGGCAATATCTGAACTGGGTTTTTATTCTTTTTTTTAAACACAAAATTGTATTTATTAGAGTTTCCATTTGGGGTCCAATTAGTCAAAAAAGAAAGTAATCTATTTTCCATCTTTCTTTCCCAGACCTGGTGAATGGCTCCACCACTCACCTCATTCATTGCTCAAGCAAGAAATCTGGAAGTCTGTGAGACCTACATTGCTCCCTCTCACATTCACAGAATTCTATTGATTGTGCCTCCTAAACATCTTTTCTTGACATTCCCAATGGTGCCCACTTAAGTTTTGATCCCATGATATCTCAACTAACATGCCATCAGTATATTTTTTTAGATTTGTAATATAGTATTTCATATTTTGGCTTTTATTTTTATTATTTTTTTAATTTCAGCATATTATGGGGGTACAAACGTTAAGGTTATGTATAGTGCCCATACCCCCCCCCCCGCCTCCCAACACTCAATAAATGTTATTCCTATATGTCCACTTAAGTGTTGATCTCTTAATACCAATTTGCCGGTGAGTACATGTGGTGCTTGAGATACTTCACTTAGTAGAATGGGTTCCAGCTCTATCTAGGAATATATAAGAGGTGCTATGTCACCATTGTTTTCTTAAAGCTGAATAGTACTCCGTGGTATACATATACCACATTTTATTAATCCACTCATGTATTGATGGGCACCTGGGTTGTTTCTACACCTTTGCGACTGTGAACTGTGCTGCTATAAACATTCGAGTGCAGGTGTCCCATTTGTAGAGTGTCATTTGATCTTTTGGGTAGATGCCCAGTAGTGGAATTGCTGGATCAAATGGTAGATCTACTTGTATCGCTTTAAGGTATCTCCATATTGTTTTCCACAGAGGCTGAACTAGTTTGCAGTCCCAGCAGCAGTGTAGGTGTGTTCCTCTCTCTCTACATCCACACTAACATTTATTGTTTGGGGACTTTTTGATAAAGGCCATTCTTACTTAGATAAATGATATCTCATTGCAGTTTTGATTTGCATTTCCCTGATGATTAGAGATATTGAACATTTTTTCATGTTTGTTGGCCTTTATTCTGTCTTCTTTCGAAAAATTTCTGTTCATGTCCTTTGCCCACTTTTTGATAGGGTTGTTTGATTTTTTCTTGCTGGTTTTCCTGAATTCTAAATAGATTCTAGTTATCAGCCCTTTATGGGATGTGTAGCTTGCGAAAATTTTCTCCCATTCTGTTGTCTTGAACTGGGTTTTTAGAAACAAATTAAATTTCCCCAGATAGAAAATTGGGCCATGAGTGTGTGTGTGTGGGGAGGGTGGTGGCAGTGGTGAGAGAATGGGAAGAAATGCCAGGAATAGGGTAGAGGATGTACATAGGTAGTATATGATATGAAATAACAGGGAATGACTGTGAAAAGCACTAAAAGGGTGAATGAACTGGAGGGGGTTAAACCTAGAAGGAGGTAAATGAGTTAAGAGCTTATTAAACACACATTTAGGTTGCACTCAACAGTGTTACAAATCGACTGAAATCTCTAAGTTAGAGGATGATACTTAATTTTTTCTGGATTATTCAAGTCTTAACTTGGCTCTGCACCCCTAGCCAATTTTTCCCAGACCCGGGCACATTCTCATATACTGCTGGAGGAAGCATAGATGGACAAGTCAGTTTTTTTTTCCCCCTAAAATGTACCTGGAAGAAAACTTAAGGAAAAATAAAGAGATATTTTTAAAAGAACAAAGGGACTTTCCAATCTAGATATCAAAGTATTCATTAAAACAATAAAGTACTGTTGTAGGAGCAGATGCTTATATATATAAGAATTTGGTGTATGGTAAAGGTGTTATTTAAAATTAATGACAAAGTATGTATTAAAAATGTGTTGGCCAGGTACAGTGGCTCACGCCTATAATCACAGCACTTTGGGAGGCCAAACTGGGAAGATCGCTTAAGGCCAGGAGTTCTAGACCAGTCTGGGCAACATAGCAAGACCCTGTCTCTACTAAAATTAAAAAATAAAAATGTGTTGACAAGTTGATTACACATAAAATAAATTTCACGTATCTAAAAATAATCATATATACTAGAAGAAAGTAAAAATATTTAAAATTGTAGATGGGAAAAAACAAAGCAAAAACCTAGAATTTATAGAGGAAAACATCAACAGATAATCAACATAAAAATGTACAACTTTTTATTGTGTAAAACTACCTAAACAAGATCAAAAGACAAACACACAGGAAGAAAGACAATTCTAACAGATACAGTAAAAATTAGTATGAGAATATAAGTATCCCTCTCTATCCAATCTTTTGAGTTCCTGATTTGGACAGGCAGAATTTGGATGGCAAGTTAGGAAAGGGAAACATACTCTTTTATCTGAATCAGTTTGATTTTAGATGGAGAGTAGTGAGATTACATACAGCAAGGATTCCTCAAAACCTTTACCCAAATCTATTTAATCCCAAAGTTTGGAAAGCAGAAGTTCAGACAAGTGAGTATATCTGTAAATAAAAGCTCCATTAAAAACAAAAAACAACCAAAACCCCACAGACATGTGAGCAATTACAGAAGAAACTAATGGCCAGCAAACCTGAACTAAAAATCTCACTAGTAAACAGAAAATTACTAATTAAAACAACCAACCATTTTTTTTTTATCCATCAGATTGGCAAGTATTAAAAATACTGCTAATACTTGGTATTGGCGATGAGGAAGACACTTCGCAAGAGTAAATCAATGACAGTTACTTAACCACTTCACCCCCTGGAATATATTCCTCAGAAATATTTGTATGTATAGGCCAGGTGCCATGGCTCATGCCTGTAATCCTAGCACTCTGGGAGGCCAAGGTGGGAGGATCTCTTGAGGTCAGTAGTTTGAGACCAGGCTGAGCAGGAGGGAGATCCTGCCTCTACCAAAGATAGAAAAAAATTAGCTGGCATGGTGGCACAAGCTTGTAGACCCGACAACTTGAGAGGCTGGAGGCTGGAGGATTGCTTGAGCCCAGGAGTTTGAGGTTGTGGTAAGCTAGGATGACACCACTGCACTCTACCTAGGGGAGAGCTAGACTCTGTCTCAAAAAACCCAAACCATCCAGTAAGACTCACAGCTTAAAAAAAAAAAAAAAAAACCCAAAACAAGAAATACTTGTACGTATGCAAAGACATGTTGCAGGTCATTAACTGTACTTGTCTATAATATTGAAAGACTGGAAATAATAAATATCAGAGAAATGGTTAAATAAATTTATGGGAAATCCATATTATAAGCTATCAAATAATTATTAAAAAGAATGAGGTAACTCTACATATGGACATAAAAAAAACCCCACATAAGATAACCAAGTTATTATCTGTAGCATGATCAAATTTTTATGAAATAAGCCCTGAATGTTTACATGTTAAGTATGGAAAGACAAAATAAAACCACCACCAACTGCAGCAGAGAAAAAGTCTGAAGCATATAGATCAAACTGTTAACAATTTGGGGGAGCAGAGTAGATATGGTTAGGGTGGAAGTGGAGTAGCAGAAAGTAATATTTTAAGCTTTAACTTCATATACTCCAGGATTGTTTTTCTAAATTTGATATAAAGCATATTACTTTTATAATTGAAAAGGTTATTTTAAAGCAAAATACTCTTAGTTTAGCAGGTTTTCATTTACCTGAATTTTTACACTATGGTAAGAGAATAGGTTTTATATATAAAAAACATAAGCAGAAGGTTAATTTGCAATATTAATTAATTAATATTGCAGTATTATCTGTGTTAGCCAAATACTAGTAACAACCTACATAAGAATCTATAAGGAACTAGTTGAATAAACTATGATATATCTATACAATGGAACATTGTACAGCCATAGTATTCCCTATCCTCCAGTAGAGATGCTCTGGAGGAACTGATAAGAAGTAATTTCCAAGATAAATTTGCTAGGTGAACAAAAAGCAAGTTGCAAAATAATATTACTGACAAAAATCCTTTGTTTGACGAAACTTTAGTCAAGCATGAAACTTCTAGGCCCATCTGTGCATGTCCCTATAAAATCCAGTTTTAGCAAAGAACCCTGCTAAGTCAGTTCAGCAAGAACCCCCCATCCTCACTATCTGACCACCTCCATATCTGATCAGGTTCCTTATCTTCCACCATTCCCCAGGTGATGTCTGATCACCCTGGCCTGTCTTCAGTAAGAATCATGTTAGGTCTGTTTACTCAGAGTCCCTCCTACCCCTGATGTTTCCTCTTACTAA